ACTGAGGGATTAGAAAACACAACTGAATAGTCCAAACACCACAAAGATAAAAGCGCAGTTCCCAATATAATTTTGAAACAGTTTTTTTTGAAAAATTTCAAACACTCATCATCAGCAAGAAATGCAAAACCCTGTTTTATAATTTTTGTAGAAGAAATTAGGTTTCTTCTCATTTTAGGCACATAAACCACATCTTTCAATAGTAAAGCAAAACCATAAGACAATTTCAAGTTCACAATCCCAATAAAGTCTACTGCAACTTTAGTCCCTTACACAACATAAACATTATACAAAGTCTTTACAATTTCCTTTTTTTGAAAACCTTTTTAGGGAACTGGTTATGTGCATTGCGCATTTAGTGTCAAACCACCAAGAATCAACAGGTATCTTACATAAGTTAGACTCAACACAGGCAAGCACCAGTTCTTTTTTCTTGCTTTTTAACCAGTCCTTAAAGATTTCACAATTGACTTTTAAATGTTCCTTTCTTTTGCACCAAAAACACTTAAGTTTAGACACATCTTTAAGTTTTTTAAACTTGGTAGATTTTTTAGGGGAGTCAATTACTTTAGCAGATCTATTAGATCTATTAGAATTCTTGAAGGATTTAGAATTCTTATCAATTCTTGAAAAGCCTCCATTGTCAGAAGTTTTCTTTTCTTTTCCAGATTGCACAAAATTGACTTACTCAAGCTCCTTGCCCTTTTCTTGCTTCTGTCTTGTTTCCTCTTGTACACATTGTGCAATCAGTTCATCAATATCCCAGCTCTTATCTTGTGTATTATAGGATACTTTTAGCTGGCTATACTTGGAAGGAAGTGCTTGAAGAATCATAAAGACCAGTTGTTTCTCACCAATATTCACATCCATGAAATTTAGCTTTTCTCTGCTACATCTGTCATCTTCATAATGTGATCCCTGAAGGTCCAATGCCTTCAATCTTGTAGGTTGTAAATAAAGACATATACTAACTTACTTCAGCCTTTTCGAATTCTTTAAACTCTTTCTCTATTGCTTTCAAGTAGTCCGCGGCTACTTCAGGTTTCTTTATACCTCCTCTAATTATATCAGTCATGCCACTTTCCAAAATAGAGAAAGCAACCTTATTAGCCCTTATCAATCTTTCATTATCTAACTTCTCAGCTTTGGTGCTTTGATCATTAATAGTCGGTTTAGGATTGTCAACTGTTATATCAAACTCATTAATAACAAATTGAAATCCCTCCTCCATTTCTTGTAATTGCTCCCACCAGTGAGAATTGGAATGTTGGCTAAATTTAAGGTCTTCATTAATATTGCAGACACTGAAGAAGAATGAAATTACAATTTGAACCTTTCAGAGTCCTGATTTCAATTCCTAGTCTATTAGACATCATCATATCTAAACTATTATCCATATACACAATCTTAACAACAAACAGTTGATAAGCATATATAAGATGAAGAAATCTATGGTTAAACTCCATACTAAAAGTAATGTAGTCATGAACAATCATCTCTCACACAGGAAAAATTTGTTGCATACAAAACAGTTCACAAATTTCAATGATATTCTTAAGAAGTAACAATCTCACAAACAATCGGACAATCATGTTCTTGAAGAATTAGATAAATTTTGCATAGAACTTAGATTAATGCAAACCAAGAATAATATCACTTATTTTATCTATTATTGCAGACATAACTAAGAATCATCATATAAATTAAGCAACATATAGGCAAAATTTCTTGTTTCTAATATGGATTTCTATTTACATACCCTTGAATTGATGAGTATTAACACCTAGGAGCGGAAGAAATTTATTGATAGATGTTGAATATTCAACTAGTAGATTAGTTTTCAAAAACCTTCAAATCACCCAAAACACTAAATCGAATAAAATGAAAAAATTTTCCGAAACCCCACCCAAAGTATAATGAGTTTTGAGTTCCAATGGTCAAAATTTTAAATCATCTTATTATATTAAAACGCAACATTTTGCTTAAGACCTTATTTCCCAGAGAGAAAACCCAAAACCGGTTTCGAAACCTCATGGCTAAAGGATTTCAAATATTTTTATTCTTGATTCTTCTGAATTTTATCGATTGAATTCAAGAACTTAAGTTTATGGCTCGGATACTACATGTTAGCATATGAACCACCAATTAGATTAAGTTACTAGAATCACAATGAACAAAACTCAGAACCTTATTATATACAAGAATTTGCAATGTACTAACGTGAAGAAGTTCCACCCGATGAAGCCATGTATGTTGCAAACAAGAATTTGTGCAATGTGAACCTTCTCCTCTCTGTCAGATTGCTTATTCCTCAAACTAAGAATAGGACTTAGTTCTAAAATAAGAGCGTTAATCTGTGAGAGCAGAGGCCAACCTATATATATGCGTAGATATATAACCTCTCATTACATAATAAGGACTCCCTATTAGAATCCAAATGAAAAACAACTTATGTTTTTCCATCACATATCAGTTTCAATTGCAACCACTGAATCCTTTACAAAGAAGAATTCAGCTTGCCAAGTCCAATAAGGCTTCCTTATACTTATGGATTCCAACAGACAATACCAAAACATCCAATCTCATGTTCATACTCTTACAAAACTAACCATTAAATCGTAGTACTCGTTGACTTTTCTTGACAATATTTAAAGTAACATAGCTTTGAGCTTCATATTAAAATTGATATATATCTTCATCATGAACTTCATGCAATAGTTTTGAACTCTTACCTCTCCTCTTAATAGTAGTAAATATTTTTTAAAACCTAAATCTTATGCAAACCACATGATGTAATCAATGGCGAAGTCAAGAATTGTCGAGGAGATGGCAAATACAAAAGGGTGCAAGATTAAAAATATGTCGGAGTTCCATTGCTTTTTGTTTTTTGTTTATGTTGTTCTGTGATTTGAATGAGGCGTTAATGGCTTGTGAATTCTTTTGAAAGATTGTTGACTTTGAATATTGTGGTTGGTGCAGATGACAATAGAGAACTTGTGATGTTGAGTTTCAGCCTTAGTTCACACTAAATGATCTATGCGAATCGTTCAGGGAGTGGAGTGCATATGGGATAGGAGTAGCACCATTGGTCCTTGACAATAGTGATTCTGTTATTCTATACTATGTTCCCTATTTATCTGGTATCTAATTATATAGGAAATTAGTTCAATTACCAACAATCAATAATCATACATTAAACAAGAATTCAGTTAACTAATCAAACAACAATTCAGTCAATCAATAATCAATTCAATTAACTTCAAATTCACACACCACCGCAGGTGGTAAAGATGCACAAATCCAAATAAACTGTGAAAGAGCAAACAACCAAACAAGCCTAAGACCCTCGGGGGTGGGTCTAACGGTCAAGTTAGTAAGTGAACCCTAGACACATATATTTATCTCAATTAGGAGAGAGACCTTTTTAGGATAGAATCATGTAGTGGGTGCTTAGAATCAAAAGAAAACCAAATGGTTCCATAGATAGATATAAAGCTCAATCTATTGATAAGGTCTTTCATCTACAAGAAGGATTAGACTACTCTGAAACTTTCAGTCTAATGGCAAAACCTGTGACTATAAGGCTTCTTCTTACTCTGGCAGCTCAGTTTGAGTAGTTCTTGAATCATCTCGATATTAGCAATGCTTTCTAGCATAGTCATCTTACAAAATCATTTTTTATGCATCAACTACCTATTTTTGAGGATCCTACAGATCAAATCACATGTTTGCAGACTTCACAAATCCTTATTGGATTGAAACAAGCTCCTAGACCTTGGTATGAAAAGCTACATGGTGCTTTGAACTCTCTTGGCTTCATCGGTTCTCAATTTGATCACTCTCTGTTTGTAAGGTACAGATCACTTAAGGCAGAATATAGATCAGTTGTCAATACTGCTATAGAGATCACATGGATATGTAAATTGTTGGTTAATATTGGCTATTCTGTTCCTTGTCCTCCTCAATTATGGTGTGATAATATCAACAATTTCTTTGGCTAAGAATTCTATTTTTCATGCTCAGACCAAGTATGTTGAAATAGATTACCACTACATCTAGGAAATGTTTTTTTGGAAAGGAAGTTTCTCTACAATTTGTCTGCACACAAGATCAGGTTGTTGATATTTGTCCCAAAGCAGTGTCACAACCTAGGTCTTTGCTTCTTTGTGACAAACTATTCAGGCTATTACCTCAGCTCAGTTTGAGAGGGCATATTAAGGGCAATATTGTAATAGCATATGCTAAAGATAAAACTTAGAGGTTATTAGTTTGTTATTTTAGTTTTGGTTTGTTAGGTTGAGCTATTCGTACAAGTATGTTTATAACTTGTATATATGCACAAATGTGACTTTATTTCATTATCAATGAAATCATAATTTTTCTAATAACAAGTACTTTCCTTAGTGAGCCATATTCGTTGTTTATTTGTTCACCGTCTACATTGTACCTATTTTGTTTATTTAATCAAACTAAATCTTCTTAAGAAGATTAAATTTTAGTTGGCAAAACATCCAAACCAACAACAGTATTTTCTCTTTGTAGCAGATCTCTTTCAAATACTCTTTCTCTGAATAAACCAAATACAAACAGTAAGATAGCAAAAAGATTCTCCCTAGCAATGATTTGTTTTTGGATTATGAGCACTTCCATTGCATGTCCAGCGAATATATACATATCTAGCGAATTATGACCAGTTTGGAGAATGGGGACATATTAACTATGTACGTATTTATTATTATGTTACTCAAATTAGAATACGTATAGCTGTTTATTATTAATATGTTCTTATAAATGTAACAAATTAACTTTATCAATTACTTGTTATTATAGAAAACTGTTATTAGCATTCCAAAATTCTCATTTTCCACTCTAATTTTTTGGTATTTATAGAGAAAGATACACTTGTGAAGTGTGCAAAATGGAATTTTCAAAGTACCAATAACTATTCTTGTGTTATAATACGCAAAATAATAACATGCGTTGTTGTCTCTAAAAATAAAAAAAATAAAAAAAAAACAACTCAAGTTTCAAAAGACAGCAAATTTTGTAACTTATTGACAGACCAAAACGTATAGTTAGTGGTAATAGCACTATTAGAAAAAAAAGAATATAAATGAAAAGATGAAGGAAAAGATGAACAGGAAGCATCATATGGCCCCGACCCCATGGGAGGTCTTCTCATCACTGGGCCCATAATGTGATTTCCGTCTTCCTCCCATCTTTGATTTTTCACTGCCTATTCCTTTCACCTCCTGCCCTTCATTATTTGTTCCTTTATTTAGCAAAACAAAAAATAAGTTCATCTGGAATATTCATTAAGTAATCAGTCATCACCGCTCTATGTCTGGAGAAAGAGGCAAAGATTTCGCCGAAGGATCGTCCGCTGGAGGTTCTCTGAATGATGATCAGCAGCAGCCGGCTACACCAAGCCGCTATGAATCCCAGAAGAGAAGGGACTGGAACACTTTTGGTCAGTACTTGAAGAACCAGAGGCCTCCAGTGGCACTGTCTCAGAGCAATTACAACCATGTACTGGAGTTTCTTAGGTATCTGGACCAGTTTGGGAAGACCAAAGTTCATCTCCAGGGTTGCATGTTTTATGGGCAGCCTGAGCCTCCTGCTCCTTGCACATGTCCACTTAGGCAAGCCTGGGGCAGCCTGGATGCTCTCATAGGGAGGCTGAGGGCTGCCTACGAAGAAAATGGAGGATCCCCGGAGAACAACCCTTTTGCTAGCGGTGCAATCAGGGTTTACCTGAGGGAGGTCAGGGAGTGCCAAGCTATGGCAAGAGGGATTCCTTTTAAGAAGAAAAAGAAGAAGCCAAGTCCAAGCAAGGGATCCGGACCAAATGATGATGAATCAAGTTCTACCATGCATTTTTCTTGATGCATGTTTGATTCCTTTGGCCAATTTCAGAATTAATCAAAGGGTAAGTAGATATTATATACATTAAATTATATTCAATTTCTTTTTATGGTTAATTAAGTACGTTCACATCATAAAAATTTAATTGGAGTTAAATGAAGAAAAATTTTGCCAGTGTACATGATATACCCCCAAAGCTTATAGTTGTTTTTTTTTTTTTTTTTAATATTTTTTTTATCAAATCCCCCAAAAATTATAGTTAACAAGAGAGAAAACGACAGTTAAACTTATGAGATGGAGTGCAGTCAAAGGACTGTAAATTAGTTTGATATGGAACTACATATACATGAAGAACAAAATTAAAACCCTAACTGATATACTCAAATTAGTATTTGAGTGATAATGTTCCGATCGTGATCAGTAACTTTAACCAATAATAAATCACTCCACCTATGTCGTGTTGTAATAACATCAGAAACAATAATCTTTTCTGTCCAACTTCTCCCTCTCTCCTCAGGTCCTCTTCATTCTCTCTCTCTGAGACATTCTCACGATGCAATCTCCACTGTGACTGTCGTACGTTAATTAAAAATTGTTATCTATTTGTAGCTTTTCATTAATTTGGCTGATTCTGCAAATTTTTTGTGCCCCACGATTATTTGTCAAGAAATATATATATCATCACAAACTTTCATACGTCAGGATATATAATTCAAAAATATAGACAAGTGATTGAAATCTATGATTAATTAAGGTTTAAGGTTTTCACAATTCTCTTTCATTCGTATTTTTCTAGTTTTTGGCGTTCATCCATCTTTTTCTACAGCTTTTCTATCTTTTGGTTTTAATTTAACAAAGGTCATCATAGCGAATCTATAACACCCATGATGATCAATGCCACAACTAATTGCTCTTCTTTTATAAGTACAGCTAGTAGTTCTATAAAATGTCAGTTATACACAACTAATTAATTAGTCTTCTTTTATACGCCCATTCTTATGTTCCTTTACCAATTCATTTTTGCTTACTGTCCGCAGTACAAGATTCTGTTGCGCAGCGTTTCATCATGATCAAAGGCTTATTACAAAACACACACACACACTGTCTGAAGAGGAAAAAAAATTGTAAAAAGACATTAAAATAAAGTCTGATTATGCTGCTCAAGGGTTTTTACTTCACATGTCTTTGTCGGGTTTTCATAGGAACTTCATATTATTTTATGCATTAGGTTGATAGCTCAGAGTTAAATAGATCTCTCACTCAGAGTTGTGTGAATTGCAGGTTACAGAAAATCGTATACTATTTGCACGTGTTTCATCTAAAGACACACACACACACACACACACACTCACACACATTTACATACATATATAACTATGAATTTCCTGGCCTAATAGTCAAACACAGATTACAGAAAACGTGTTCGCAATTTCTAAGACCAAGGTTTACTAGGGTTTGATTATTTGTGTTGCTCTCATTTCATGCGAAACTCATGTGAAATTTGCATTCTTAATTACAAACATATAAATTAGAGTACAATGCATGCCCTACGTAAAGTTCGTATATCAACAAAAAGTGTCGTTTAATATAAACTAAAGATGCATCAATGATCTAGCATGCGTTGATGAGACTTCAGAGTATTAGGAAGTGTTATTGGTACTTCAAAAATCTCATTCTACACTCTTAACAAGTGTATTTTTCTTTCCTAATATAGAAAGTTTGGAGTGTAGAATGAGATTTTTGGAGTGCCAATAATAATTCCACAGAGTATTCTGTATTTAAAATTGAAGTATTGAATTATATGTTTAAATTTTTACCTATTTTATTCATTGTTAATTGATTTTGAATTGGTTTTTTTTTTTTTTTTGTCAAACGATAGATTTGTTAGATTAGATATTAGATTAGGGAGCCAGTAGAGTTGGAACCCAGACCATGGTGTAAGGACAACACTTCTCTTCGCCATCCTTAATTGAATTCATTTGAATACGTAATATCTTTAGTATTGCATACACAACTATGAATGCTTCCTTATTTAATGACTATATATCAACGCAGCTATTATTTGTCAACATATTTGGATTGGACTATAATACATGCTGTAAATTCATGATCCTTCGAGCTTAAAAAGTCAATGCCTATCTTTTCTATGTGGCTTTGGCGATGAGCACAGAAGACACTCAGCAGTATATTTTTGTAGGTTTTGTATGCGTTCGCAGACACATATACACTGACATTCTAAAAATAAATAGTTAGGTGCTTTAGCTGAAAACTTGAAGGTTTGTATTTCAACCATTAGATCATCAAAAATGCTACTTTTATCATATTTTTCATACGACAATTGTATTAACTCTCTAATAGAAATGGGGCCAGAGAGCTAGAAAAATATAGTATGAAAATGTAGTAAGTGTGAGCATTACTCTAATAACATACCACATTTGTGGAACTCTAAAACTTGCAAAATCAAAAATAAAGAATTAACTAAAAATTAAATACGTACACACACGAAAAAAGATAATGCATCTTCACCACCTCTATTACAAGTGTGTCAATTTTATGTATCCAAATGAAATTATAGTTATACATGTTTGCACACATATATATTGCAACTATGCTCTCTTGGTAAGCAATCTAATATGTTATTGTGTAAAACTACAAACCCAAAATACACATTTTGATAATTTTTTTATACAATGATATATTAAAATCAAGGGATGAGGAAAATAAATTGGTATCAAACTCTATTCACGATATTTGAATCTAAAACTCTGCACTTACAAGAAAAGAGAAATACTAACACTAAGTGGCTACACATGATCATAGTTACAGTTGACAGTTCAGTAACATGTTAGAATGTCTAAAGAAAGCAGATTATCACATAAGTAACACAAATTTAACCAGTCACACACGGCAGTTTAAAATTGACTTCAAGTGAATTTAATTAAATACTGAATATTTACATGTAACACACATTTATTGTCTGATGGTTGATTGTTTAAAGGTCACTCATACACTGCAGTTTGTTCTAACTCCAATATGGTTGCGTTGTGATTGTATTTTTGTTGTTAGGAACTTATCCGATCGACAGATACATTCTAGCACTTTGAAACGGAACCAGTAACAGATGTACCCTTAATGTATAATCATCAAACTCATTATTTATTACTTCCTTGCAGGATCATATGGAAATTGAACGAAAAGGAAGGAATTGTTCCAAGGGAATTTGCCTGGATGCTTTCGGTATTGTCAAGTTCGATTATGGCTTTTTTTTTTTTTTTGGGTCAAATTACATAAGGAATAAGTTGATCTATATAAGTAGCGATCACTTATGGCTTGCTGGCATGAACACGAATCGGTATTAGTTCCCTTTGTTAAATTGTAATTGGAGAATTTGAAAGCATGTAATAGATTATCGGAAATCCTTTATGCTTGGATATATAAATATATATTTGTATCCTGCTCGTTATGTCCATAGTTGTCAATACTATCAGGACTATAATCATATTATGTGTTTCCTACATATGTTGGGTTTAGTCATGTAGTGTCAACAATCACACTGGAAAGACCGCATTACTAAGATCTTACCTATACTAAATAAATTGATACAGAATTATTCTAGAAAACAATAAGCACATCGGAAGAACAACTCACCTGAAGGTGATGCCATTGGAAGAACAAGAAGAAGCAGACTTCTACTTCCAACACACAACAACGCTCTCTATCAAATGAATAGGGTTTTAGCTAATTCGAGAATCAGCTAGTGTGGAAGCAGGGACCTCTTCTAAGGGTTTCACTCAAACAATCCTATTATCAGTAGAGTGATAAGCCATATCCCTTTATGACTCTATTCCTCAGTATACACAAGATGAAGACTTCAATTAGACAGCTGCAACATAATTAAACTCCACGACTCTTATCCTATCAAGACTCTCAGACTCCTTGTGTCTCATGCAACTTGTATGACAAGTTACGTGTAACTCAAGAAATCCAGTTGTTAACTCATTGTCATTCAACCAAAGTTTTATATTCTCCCACTGGAATCTCGATAAAATAAGACTATCATTGAGCTTACAAAAGCTTGCAACTACCCTTCTTAGCAACCTGTCATTTCAAGCAAAATACAGAACCATAGAAAAAACAAGGTGCACTCTATTTTGCACTTCGTGCTCTACGATTACATACATATTAAACTTGAAAAACTATGTTGCCATTAGAGTCATATAGTCAAGAACCAACTAAACATAATGTTAGTTCCTCAGAACAAACTGAAAGATGCGTTCAGTACCAAAATTGTTTGAAGAAACATAAATTAGTCATATGATCAAATCATCAGAATCAATTAATTATGAATTGTAATGCAACTGACAACAATAAACACAAGAAAAATAGTTTAATGCAGTTAACTGAGTGCATACTCCCACTCATTAACTGAATCAAAAGACACTTTTATGCCCATGTTAAAGATATGCTTCTTGAAAAATCCCCCAGATAAAGCCTTTGTCATTAAGTCAGCAACCATAACACTTGTGTTTATGTACTCCACATTGATAGTGTCTTTCTTCACTTCTTCCCTCACCTTCAAGTACTTTATGTCCATCAATCTTCTTGCATAAGACCTCTTACTATTCACCGAAAAGAAAGTTGTAACTTGTCACAATACAACATGAGAGGCCTTTCAATGTCATCAATAATCATCAATCCTTTCATCATGTTCCTAAACCAAATAGCTTGTTGAGTTGTTGCGTAGCACCCTATGAACTTAGCCTCTACAGTCGAGGATCCTATACACTTTTGCTTCCAACGTTTTCATGATATTGCACTGATTGCTAACAGAAAAATGTACCCCTTTGTTGATTTCCTGTCATCCACACTTCCTGCCAAATCAGAGTTCGAGAATGCCACCAGCTCAAGCTTATCCATGCGACTATAAGTTAGCATGTGTCTAGTCCTCTTAAGATACCTCAGCACCTTCTTAGTCACAACCCCATAAGATGCACCAAAGTTTGATTGAAGACTACCTAATAAACTCACTACAAAAGTTAGGTCTGGTCTCATGCATACTTGGACATACATCAAACTCTCTACAAGAGATGCGTAGGTTTTGTCTTTCATTCTTACTGTTTCTAATTCATTTTTCAGACATTGCTCATGACTCATCTTATGTCCCTTTCCAATGGCAATTCGCCACTCGAACATTTTTCCATATTGAACCTTTGAACCTTTTGGTGACCCTGTCGATGTACTGTCTTTGTGAAAGACCAAGGGATTTCTTGACACGATCTCTGATAATCTCTATCCCCAATACAAATCAAGCCTCCCCTAAATCCTTCAGGTCGAAGCTTTGAGTCAACATATTCATGGTTGATTGTAGTAGACACATGTCGAAGCTAGCCAATAAAATGTCATCCACATACAAAATTAAGAATATAATCTTGGTGCTGCTAACCTTGAGATAAACACATTCATCCATTTTATTTTCTTGGAAGCCAGAAGCCATCATCACTTGATCAAAATTCTTGTTCCATTTGGTTCATTTGTTTATGTTGGTACAACAACTGAGCAACGATTGGATCATGAGTAGTGCCATTTGGTTCATTAGCTGGGGCTATAACTAGAGCTGTTGTGCTTGAATTTGTAGGCCATTTGTAGCCTCTTTTTCGTGCAAGTTTTCATGTGGAGAAAAAAATCAACAACTCAGTGCGAGTAACATCGACAAATGCTTGTGGAACAAGTAGCTCCTCATCATGGTTTAATTCTTCGAATTTAGAGAGTTTGTTGTGGAACTACGAATGTCAATCTCATTCAAATCTTCAAGAAATTTTGCATTATGAGTCTCCATAATTCTCAAGTAGTTGCTAGAATAGTAGAATTTATAACCCTTCGATTTTTCTAAATATCCAATGAACCTACAACTTTTGGTCCATGGGTTAAGTTTTTTCTCACTTGGATTATAAAACCTAGCCTTGGCTTTATAGCCCCATATAGTTTGCAATTTTTAGTGCCTCTCCCCAAAGGAAAATTGGAAGCTTGGGATGTGCAAACATGGACCTGATCATGTCTTTGAGTGTTCGATTCCTTCATTTAGCAACTCCATTTTGATGAGGAGTCCGTGGAGTGGTATATTGTATGACTATGCCATTTTGTTCAAGGTAAGTTGCAAAGGATCCTTTGTGTTGTCCAGCTTCCGTATAATTGCCAAAATGCTCACCACCTTTATCGGATCTACAATTTTAATATATTTTTCAAGTTGTTTTTCGACTTCTAAGTGAAAGGTTTTAAAACATTCTAATGCTTCACATTTTTCAGAGATGAGAAAAACATATGCAAATCAAGAAAAATCATCAATAAATGTTATGAAATAAGATTTTCCACAAATAGTTTTAGTTGGGAATGGTCCACAAATGTCGGTGTGCATAACCTCTAACAAGGATTGGCTACAGTTTGATCCGTTTTCTAATGTTGGTGAGTTTTCCCTTAAAAGTTCTTTAAATCATTAAAATCAAGTTGTGGCAACAAGTTTTTTTTTTAGTACATCGATATTTTTACACTAGGGGTAGAAGGAGTTCGGCTAAGCCCCACAATGGGCAACCTAATTTGGTATTGAATTAGCCATCTACGAGATTCAAACCTAAGACCTCTCACTTTCATGTGAAGAGGAATACCACCAGACCGTAGTATTGAGTGGTAGTTGTGGCAACAAGTTTTGTTTCGTTAGTGTGATGATTCTTTCTTTAGAGATGTGCCCCAACCTCTTGTGCTAAAGCATGGAGGATTTTTTAGAAGTGAGCAGCATTTTAGAACCAACACTTTGAACATTACAACATTCATTTTCATAAGAACAATCCATTTGCCATATATTAGTTTTGAGATAAGCACTACCAAGTAAAGTACTTGAATTATTTGAATGAAAAAACTTTACACTATGATTGTCACCAACAAAGGTAAAGCCCTACTTAACTAGCTTAGATGCAGAAATTAAATTCCTTCACATGGAAGGTACATAAAGAATTGGACTCAAGTCTAAAATAAAACTAGATGATAAAACTAATTTGGCACTTCCTATGGATCCGACAACTACTTTGCGCTCATTTCCCACATAGACATTGTAGACTTCATTGTTTATCTCCCTTGTTTTTTGAGAAGCCATGCAAGGAATTAATTATATGAATAGAATAGCTAGTATCAAACTACCAACTTTGAGGAGGAATATAAACTAAATTAGACTCAACTCACATAAAAACATTTATTTCTTTACCTTTCTTAACAAGCCAATTTTTTAAGCGAATGCAATTCTTTATTAAATGACCTATTGCTTTGCAAAAGTAACACTCCTTTTCCTTTTCAGCCTCAGTGTTAATAGGTTTGATTTTATGAGATCCTTTAGAGATATTAGTCTTTTTAAAAGAAGAAAAAATTTCTTTATTCTTCTTCTTACCAGCAGCTACAGTCAGACCAAAAAATTGAAATCCTTCTTACGTTTTTCAGCTTGAACAAAATTGACATTCACTATTCTGTCACTCTTGAGCCAATCCTCTTCTTGAGCACACATCAAAATTGGTCAATCATGGGTACCTCAAGATCTTTCAATTTTTGTGCAAGAACCACTACCTTGAGGATGTGTGCTCTCTAACACTTCCCACTTTGTCGTACTTGATGGCAGTGAGTTAAGTAAGAAAAGTTTCAGTTTCCGCCTCTTTTGACTCTTGAAACTTCTCCCTCACTACAGTCAGAAAGTCTTTGGCATTATCTTACTTTGGAATTCCCTCTTTAACGGATTGTGTAATTGTTTCTTCATGATCATCAAGGACATTACGTTGGTTCTATCTTACTTGTCAAACTTTACCCTGTGCTCCATGGTGCTCTCTGCAGTAAGTGCTGTTGGACGTTCCTCCCTCAATGCCAAATCAAGGTCAATGAGACGAAGAACAATCTTGACAACTTCCTTCCATTTCTTGAAGTTAGAACCAGTCAACGTCTCAATGTTTGTGAAGTTGAGAGATGTCATATGAAGAACTGAAGAACAATATGCAAAAACTTCCTAACATCAGTCATTAAATAGCAACAAACAAGGAAAACCATCTGAGTGTTTTTCCCAAAACATGAGCCTATAAACTCAATATCATCTTTGGACGGACACCGTTTATATTGGAGTTGCATAACCAAAGCATCAAACACAATGGCAATTTATATAACTTCAACACTTTTGAGTAGATGAAGAATGTAATCTTGCCAATTTAATGCTTCAAATATTCATTTGTTTGACTTGAATTACTAAACACCTTTGGGAAAATTATTATTCACTTAATGCACAACAATCGTAAATCCAACAGATTGGATGACAAGCCAACACAACAGTCTAAACACTTTTGAGCGGATTAGATGTTGAAGTCCTTGGTTTTCAGTTCATAATATATTCTTATTTTTTTGTATAGACAGAAGAAGTATGAACTCTAAAGTTCTCCAGTAG